AAGCTTATTTCACATTCCGCATCATTTTAGAATTTATTTTCAAAGGGGAATAGTTTCAATGTTTTATTCACTTGGGCTTTTTTTCTTTCCCCTCATTCTTGGAAGAACTGCTTAATATTCAATCTGTTGTGAAGAACCTGATTTGCACTCTGTAGTGTTTAAAGAAAAAAAAAAAACTAATATTGAATCTCTTAAATTTAGTGTATGTAAACAGCTTACAATATGTATTGTCTAAATGCATTTAAATCTTTTATTCAAAAAAAAGCTAAAGCAAAAATATTGGTATGTGACCATGCAAGACTGTCAGTGCTAACAAAGACAACACTAATCAGCATATCCTACATTGGATTGCAGTGCTCTCCAAATTATTTGAAAAATGCATTACAGACAACTTGCCTGACTTTTAAATGAGCATAAAAGGCCCTCTAACCTATGCAGGTTTCCTCATTACACATATAGAAAATGCTAGTGTGTTTTTGCTCACTTCATATGTAACAGGTGCCCTTATATTGTGCTGTATCCTGTGCTTTTTCTGTGGGACCATTCCATTCAGGAACAAAGAGCACCATGATTCCAATCTGTGTGTATTTACTAACCCTTCCCTGAGGTTTGTGTATGTTGGATATTGTGGTGTTTTAGATCACTGAGTGTACAGAAGAGAGAATTCAAACAAAATATTGCTGTTATTCAGTTTTGTTTGTGGAATTTGAAATTACTCAAATTTAAAATAAATTACTGGACTGTGGAAATAACATGTAGAATGGCAGTTTTAATTAAATACCTCTCAAACTTAAAGCAAAAAAACCATGGTTTTGGTAGTTTCATATTGGATACTGAGGCAGTATCGGGAGCTGTGAAAGCAGAAGTGGAATGAGGATTGGGACATGTGAAAACACTGCATTACATCATGTACATTTGTGTAGTTAATAAGGTACATGCAGTCGTCCTAACCAGTCAGCACTATAGTGGGCTACATTTTGGCTAACACCATCATTTTAAAAAGTGGCACTTTAGGTTTTTATCTAAGCATTTCATTTAAATGAACAGATCACAGATGTTAAATTATAGTAACTGGAGATAAAAGTATATAAGCCTGTAGTTAACATGCTGTTCCTTGCCATGAATTGTAAGGGTCCCCAAATTACGAGAAGTTTAAGTTGATTTTTTTTTTTTTAACTAGTAGTTGTTTGAACCCAACCCTTTCTGCTTATGGCTAAGAATGTTATTTTAAATTCATTTCACTGTTAATCCTCAGTAGAGTTAGAGAGCCCCCCTACCTAGGCTTGTATTGCTCTATAACTCTAATAATTCAGGCAAATGACCATAAGCTCCACAGAAGGGTTTTTTAAAACTTAGAATTCCTGCCCTTATCCACCTTTCATTCCCCCTCCCCCCGCATTTTCCTATAGGAAATTATAGTATCAGTGGGAAAACCCCATTTCCTTTTTTGGTTTGTCATGGTGGAAACTTGCTGTTCAGGCCCTGGCTGTACTTCTGTTTCCGCTGGATCTCTGCCCCCTTTCTTCATTGTAATCAAAGTCAAGAGGGAGAACAGTAATGGTCCTTGGGAGCTCACTGTTTTCAGAGTCAAGATTTGTTCTCCTGGACCTTTCCCATACTTTCAATCAACTTGTTTTTATCAATGGAATAAGAAGTCTCTCTTTTCCCTTCCCTGATAGAAACAAGTTTAAATACCCTTTTTTTTTTTTTTTTTTTTTTGGTGAGGAAGATTGGTCCTGAGCTAACATCCGTTGCCAGTCTTGCTCTTTTTGCTGGCCCTGAGCTCACATCCATGCCTCCTCTACTTTGTATGTGGGATGCTGCCACAGCATGGTCTAATGAGCAGTGTGTATGTCCACGCCTGGGATCCAAACCCGTGAGCCCCGGGGCACTGAAACAGAGCGTATGAACTGAACCACTATGCCACCGGGCTGGCCCCTAAAATACTTTAGTAAAGGTTTTCTTTTAGCATACTTAAGAAATTTTTTTTAAACAACAAAAAAGCCCCATTTTAATCTGATGCTATGTCCTGTGATACTGAGTTGCCGCTTAAGTACCATCTATAATGGGCTACACGGTCGGTCATGCATTGCTTGACAATGGGGATACGTTCTGTGAGATGCATTGTTAGGCAATTTTGTTGTTGTGCGAACATCATGGAGTGTACTTACACAAACCTAGATGGTATAGTCTACTACACACCTAGGCTATAGGGTACTAATCTCGTGGGACCACTGTCGTATATGCAGTCCATCATTGACCAAAACGTCATTATATGATGCAGGACGATTCTTAAATAGCCTTTTCAGATACGGTGGTTAGTTGAAATGTGGAATCTTAAACCATAAATGAGAAGTTTTTATTAAAATCCACTGATCTATCTTTACTTTGATCTTTTACCCATGCATGATTTGTACCTTCATGCATAGATTGTGTGGAAAAACTGATTTCCTAAGTTACACAGTTCTAAATGTTGACATTATATTTTTAAAAACCTTATTTGTGAGGAACACTAATCTTATGGGAAAAATCTTAAGTTTTGAGAAGCTTGGAGGAGAGGCAGATACAAGTTTTCCAAAATACTGTCAGTTGTTTTCCTTGAAGTGATTGGCTTATTTAATTTGTGAGGAAATATCTGCCAAACGCCTAGATCTGGACAGCTAGACTTTGTCACTTCTTGCAAGTAAAAATGTTTCATGACAAAAGCAGCTGGTTCAGCTCACGACTCAGCCACACAAGTCTTTTTCCTCAAGACAACAGTCATACTTCGGAGTGCACCAGAAGTGTTTGTTACACAGAATATTAAGGCAAATAGTCAAGGGTCAAATTTAATGATAATTTTGTTACTGCTTCAAGGACATGTAAGTGAAGCTTTTTTTTAGCGTGAGTGTAGGGCAGTGAAAATTACAATGACTACTTGTACAAATAGGTGACCCTGTTTGATTTGTGAAAGGCCCCAGCAGTTTTACCCACCATTGCTTTTGTATCATCGGTGCAAATGTCAACACAGTGAAGAAAAAAATAATGTTAGTATTAGGAAAATAGTTTTGACCCCCAGAAATTGTCTTAGAGGCCCCAGAGGCCCCACAGGTTCTGTAGAATAAACTTTGAGAACTATAAGACTATGAACCCTATAAAATAAATACTATGTACAGGTGAACTAGAAATAAGCATCACATATTTCCAGAACTTGTATACTATTCATCCTAGTAGATATGCCATGACTTATTACAATTACTTGAATCAGCCACAGCAGGCCATCCTGTTGGGAATGCACTTTGAACTTGGAGCTATCAGTCTCTGAGGCAAGCCTCAGAAATTACCTGAGCCAGAATCATGCATTTAGGATTGAGTTCTCTTCAACTCAGTTACATACTGTTGCATCACTTTCGAATTCAGTATAAACATTCTATTTAGAAACAGTTGCTACTGTGGCATCATTCACAGTTGCAACTTCTCCTGTGCTGTCATATATATGCCAGTGTAAACTGTGAAACTGACCAAATATCAGCACCTTTAAGACTAACTGGCCACAGTAGTCTTTAGTGTTCTGCCCCACAGACTCCACTGACCTTAGACTTTGAAGTTGTGCTATCATGCTGCTTATGTCGAAATTTAACTGCTAGCTGATGCTAATTGTTGAAGTTAACCATGGAGAGTTGGAGCCACTTCCCATGTGCCTGTTAGCAAAATTCGCCCTGGCATCATCATAGTTCTTAGGGATATACTGAATTTAGAAATACTGTCGGGGCCGGCCCCATGGCTTAGTGGTTAAGTGCACGTGCTCTGCTACTGGCGGCCCGGGTTCGGATCCCGGGCGTGCACCGACGCACCGCTTCTCCGGCCATGTTGAGGCCGTGTCCCACATACAGCAACTAGAAGGCTGTGCAACTATGACATACAACTATCTACTGGGGCTTTGGGGGGGAAAAAAAAAGGAGGAAGATTGGCAATAGATGTTAGCTCAGAGCCAGTCTTCCTCAGCAAAAAGAGGAGGATTAGCATGGATGTTAGCTCAGGGCTGATCTTCCTCACAAAAAAAATAAATAAAACTGTAAAAAAAAAAAAAAAAGAAATAACTGTCAGGATCCTCCTAAAAGGTTTTCAGGAAAAATGGCTTTTTGCAAGAAGAAATCAGAAAGCTATGTGGCTTTTCAGAGCTGGAAACTTCTTCATATTCTGGGCAGCTGTATAGTAATTATTGGAATTATGTCATGCTAAGTGTATAAAGATAAAGAGGGAAATAAAAGTGCCCTTAAATAATTGAATTGTCTAGTTCTTTAAGTTCTAGGTAAAGAAACAGTGAGATGTTGAGATGACGCACTACATTCACTTCCCAATTACCATAAATTCATACATGGGCTCATTACCACCTTCAAGGTCCATACATGTCACTTCACAAGTTTCAATGCCTTCACTGTTAGGAAAGGGGGGAGGCAAAGGAATTTTTATAGGCTATGATATAGAACCTCTGCGGAGAACCTTTGGCCAGTGTTGGTCAGGGGAAAAGAACATGAAACACCGCACAGGTGGGTTATATCAATGCTATAAAACCTCAACTCTGATACATAAAGAAAAAAATCCAGGAAGTTACATTCTAAACCACAACACTCTCACTGTGGATGGCTATAACATGATCTACTAATAACTGTGGGTGGCTATACTATATCTATTAATGAAGTAGGCTATCAGTCATGCAAAAAGTGACAGCAAGAAAACAAACGGTAGTTTGCATTCAATGGGAATACCCTTGAATCCCTGATCCTCCGAGGGGTACAGCAACATAGTCTCGGGGAAGAAAAAGAGCTCAACACACAGAAACCTAACCACGCATAGGAAATTTTCCCGTTCATAATCTAATTTTGTTGTGACCTGTTTCTTTCATCTTAAATATTTTTGGTTTAGCACCTATCACTTGAACCACCAGGACCATTTAACCAACTTTTTTTTTATTTTTACCCAAGGTAACTTAACTATATCATGCCAAGTACATAATAGAAGAACACAGAAATGGATTTTCATCTCAAGAATACTGAAGTTGGGACATTCAGCTTTTATTGTTAGAATTTGACAGTTTCAAACACTTGTGGTGGTGGAACCATCATACAAAATTCCACCTAGTAAAGTTTTAGGTGACCAGTGACTTTGTCAATTAGGTCTGCTGGTCCTGGCCCAATTCCTAGGACAGTTCGAGAGCCTGGTGCAATCTGAGTACGTCCAGCATCTTGGATTAAACTTACAGTCAGTCCCAGCATTTTTGCATGGGTCAATAATTCAACCAGAGTTTCTTCATCAGGGGCTTTGACTACCACTTTGGGCTGGCCACAGTATTCCCACTGTTGGAGCAATTCAGGGTTTCTCCTTTGAATTTGCTGGTAGGCAGAAACAGCAGCATGAGAGCACTGGGCAGCCACTTTCCCTTTTCCCATCTTCAAGTCATTTCGAACCACAAGAATCATTTTGTACTCCCCACTCTCTCCTAAGATGCTTGCTTCAGTTCCAGTCTCCATGTCTGTCTTGCTCACCGAGCTTTTGGGGGTCAGCCCAAAGTGTGCACGGAGGCCCCAGCCCAGGAACATGCCACAAACAACTCCAGCAGCCAAGCTGAGTGCACCAGGATGAGCCAAATATTCCATAACCAAGGATCTGGAGAGCATCTTAAAGGAAAGGAAAAAAGCTCACTATCTAGCAGTGAAAAGTTAGAGGCTTATCAGATAAAACACCCTGCCAGTATATACAAGCAGCAACATTTTAAAACTATATGAGGTCACCCAGGAAAAAGGCAAAACATATTTTGGGTCTTATGAGTGTACCATTTTTTCTCCTCTGTGTACTAGAAAAGATTCAAGAATACAGGTGAAGGGGGCCGCCAGGTGGCGTAGCGGTTAAGTTCGTGTGCTCTACTTTGGCGATTTTGGCGTTCGCAAGTTCGGATCCCAGGTGCAGACCTACTCCCCACTCATCGAGCCATGCTGTGGTGACATCCCATATACAAAATAGAGGAAGACTGGCAACAGATGTTAGCTCAGGGCAAATCTTCATCACCAAAAAAAAAAAAGACAACAGGTGAAGCAGTTTAGGTCATTTTGAATCTCAAAGTGAAGAGTATCTCTCTGGTTCTTGGATACAACAAAGCTCTGTTCCTCAGTCTTCTCTAAGTCTTGTGGAGAAAGGAAATGTTCTGTTTTACCAAGATGCCTAAAGGATCTAAAGAAACCAAAAATAACTCATCCCTTTTCTGGAATATAGTGCTTATTTAATTGTGTCGTTGTAACGCATTGGGTCTCAATTGGGGATGGTACCAACCCCTCAGACAAGTTCCTGGCTGTCACAATAATGGGGCTAGAGTGAAGTGCACTGCTGATATTTACTAGACCTGAGCATGGAATGCGAAAAGTCTTACAAAGTGCAGATTTATCCCACTGGACATTATTGTAGGTGAAAAACTGTTAATACTTGAGACTATTAAAACCTGAGTTTGATATATGAACACAAAGTATTTTTTGCATAGTTTTAATATACACTGAATTTACCAAAAGTGTAACTATCATATAAAACAAAGGAAAATCATCCTTTATTATTTTAGAAATTCCTGTTACCCCAGCAAAGCTGTTCATGGTATTAGAGTCACCACTAAAACACCTTTATCAGTCTACATTTGAGACTGTTGGATTCATAATGCTTCTGTGTATGTATAGGCACAAACAACCATCAGTTTTTTCTTTTTCTAGTGGAATAGTATCTAAGCATCTATATATTGAAATACATGTGTTGTATGTGGGACGCTGCCACAGCATGGCTTCACGAGCAGTGTGTAGGTCTGCATCTGGGATCCGAACATGTGAACCCCAGGCTGCCGAAGCAGAGTGCGTGAACTTAACCACTACACCACTGGGCCAGCCCTGTTTTTTTGTCTTAAGATGGAAAGATGAGGGCCAGCACAGTGGCTTAGTGGTTAAGTGCTCGTGCTCCGCTACTGGCAGCCCGGGTTTGGATCCCGGGCGTGCACTGACGCACTGCTTCTCCAGCCATGCTGAGGCCGCGTCCCACATACAGCAACTAGAAGGCTGTGCAACTATGACATACAACTATATACTGGGGCTTTGGGGGGGAAAAAAAAAAGGAGGAGGATTGGCAATAGATGTTAGCTCTGAGCCGGTCTTCCTCAGCAAAAAGAGGAGGATTAGCTGGATGTTAGCTCAGGGCTGATCTTCCTCGTAAATAAATAAATAAATAAACAAAACCGTTTAAAAAAAAAGATGGAAAGATGAGTATATTTAAATGCTGAGCATATTTAACTGTCAATGGATAGAGCCAGGGAAAACGTAGGTAGATGCTCAAGATAGAGAAAGAATATTTAACTATACAAAGCACTACAGGGCCGGCCCAGTGGCACAGCGGTTAAGTGCGTGTGCTCTGCTTTGGTGGCCCGGGGTTCACAGGTTCAGATCCCAGGCACACACTGACGCACCGCTTGTCAAGCCATGCTGTGGCGGTGTCCCATATAAAGTAGAGGAGGATAGGCACAGATGTTAGCCCAGGGCCAATCTTCCTCAGCAAAAAGAGGATTGGCATTGGATGTTAGCTCAGGGCTGATCTTCCTCACAAAACAAACAAACAAACACACACAAAGCACTAGGGTGGGAGGAGACCTAAACTCCGTACAGAGGGATTTGGTGTTGCAAAGAAGGGGCACCTTTCCCAACTTGACAGTTTTAGATGCAGGTAGGACTGTGGATTTGGAGGCAGGAAGTTGTTCCTTGGAGGGAGGTATACAAAAGTCAAGCTGGAGTTGAGAAGAGGAAGACTGAAATAAAAGTTGCAGCAAAACACGGCAGGATTGCAGAGGAATGTTGAAAACACGGTTAAGATTAACGATGATTTTATAATGGTACCATACTGACCTCTTGTGATTTTCTCCAGCAGTACTTAGCAGCCTCTGTATAAGTACAAATAAAGAAGAGATGACTTCATACTTCACAGAGAAAATAGAAGCCAAAAGACTAAAACCACCCAATCACTGCCTCCAAACATACAAACAAATCTGGCCACATTCTTCATTCATCCTCCCCTTCTATTACAATGGATAGTTGGATTTATCCAGGTTTGAATTTTGCTAAGAGTAAGCACCAAGACACAATGGTGTAAGGGAATTTAGAGTGAGGGCTAGAATGTTTGAAATGACAGACCATGAAATTCACATTCTTAGAGAATGATTTAAAGACAGGACAGTGATATAGAAGGATATCCATATGCTATTAAAGAACAAGTGTGATGAAGTAAGCTGGAAAGGCAGATGGCTGTGGTTAGAGAGATGCCTGGGGTTTTATTCTGGAAATGGAACATTGTAAGGTGATACAAATTCCAGAGTGTAGCTACAGGATGGGTATCTGAAGTATAGTCAGAAGTGTGTCACTAAGCTCATATGCCTTCTCAGTTCTTTTATTTTTATGATATATTGCCACCTTCCTTCCACAAATATTGATTGGCCCTGCTCCAGGGTCTAGGGGATACAGGAGTGCACAAAGCAGGAAAAGTCCCTTCTCTCACAGAGCTTACTTTCTAGTAGTGGTTTGGAAGTGGCCCAATCCTAATTTTGAATTTCCTTCATTTTATTTTAATAAAACTTCATGTTTTCATAGCTCAAAGCTCATTGATACTTTGAATGTATATGTCATTTGATCCACATAACTGGGAAGTTAGGATTATTTCTATACTGAAAATCAGGAAAATGAGGCCAAGAGAAGTTAAGTTAAAAAAAAACAAATGTTTGCTGGCTTCCTATGTGCCAGGCACATACCTTGTTAGGCTAAGTATATAGTGATGAACAATACAGGCCACTGCCAGTTGTTCATAGATGGGTGGAGGAGACAGACAAATAATTACAAGGGTGGTGAATGTTATGAAAAGGTGTTGGGAAGTACATAAAAGGCTTTAGCTCAGTTTAGGAAGTCAGAGAAGGTCTCCTTGAGAATATGATACTTAAAATGCAACAAACAGTAAGAGGATAGAAGGAGGAAAGATCATTTCAGGCAGAAAGAACACCAAGTGGGAAAGCCAGAAGAGAAAAATATGGTATGTCAAATGACGTGAAAGCCGTCTAGATAGCTGAAAGATGGAGGGGAAAAGTGGCAGAGAATAAAGTGAGAACGGAGGGCAGGATACAAATCATAGAAGGCCTTCTAGCCGTGTTAAACAGTTTGGAATTTACCCTAAGGACAATGGGAAGCTGCTGCAGGAAAATGATTGTTTTCTAAAAGATCACCTGGGGCTTCAGTGTAAAGAATGAATTAGAAGTTGGCAAGAACAGGTACCGGGGATCAATTAGGAGACTGCTATAATGTAATAATCGTAATAGTTAATAATTGCGAAGTATTTTGCTATTTATTAGGCATTGGCTAAACACTCCATAAGAACTGTCTCTTTTAACACCTAGCAGTCCTTTAAGGTAAATATATAATTATTATCCCCATTTTTCAGATGTGGAAATTGAGGTACAGAGACTATAAGTAGCTCACCCAACTTCACACAGCTGGTAAGTGGTAGTCTGATTCCAGAGTCTGTGCTCTTAACACTACTCTATTTTGCCTTCCCCAGTAGTCAGGATGAGATGACAGTCACTTGGACAACAGTAGGGGCAATAGGAAAGGAAAGAAGCAGCCGAGGCATGTCTCTATGATTTGGTGACTAATTGCAAGTCTGGTGATACAAGAAAGGGAGAAGTTTAGAATGACACCTAGATTTGAACAAATGGAGAATGGAGGTACTATTTACTGATGAAGAGCATTCTGGTGAAATAGCAGGTTTGAAAGTAAAAGATACTGCAATCAGTTTTAGATCTATTACATTTGGTTTGACATCCTGGTTAGAGATGTCCAGCAAAAAAGAAAAAAAAAGGATATACCATTTTAGAGGTCAGAAGAGATAAGCTTAGGCTAGAAATACAGATTTAAGAGACTTTAACATATAACTGAGGTCACCAAAGTGATGAAAGTGGATGAGACCACTGGGAAAAGTATATAGAGTAAAGAAAGAGCTAAAACAGAATCCTGAGGAAATGAACATTTAGGGACACTCAGGGATCAAAGCACAGTGACGTGGAGTGGCCATACGTTAAGAAGGTCACATATGGTAAGCTATCAGCACCTAGTTTCAGTCCTCTTTCACTGGCATGCCTGATACGCTGACAGGGCTGTACTGACATAGTACTTTATGGCTCTAGATGCCTCTGCAGCCAGAAAAAAATTTTTTAATTCTTATTAGAACACACATTATCTCATAATGCATCTGTCATTTAGTTACAACATGATGCTTACATATTAGCAGGACTTCTCTCTGATAATGTAACAACCAGACTCCAAATTGAACGAATATTCAATTATATAAAAAAGTATACTAACCTCTATGTCAACAATTAGAAGGATTCTCTGCACCACTTTCCAGTTCACAAAGTAACCAAATATCCCATATACTAGATTTGGGTATATCTGGAGAAGGGAACTACATATAGAGGACTATAACGTGTTGGATGACAAGTTAAACCCTTTACTTCCATTATTGTTGCTATGAAAATAAAAGGAAGATATTATTAGCCTCATTTTAAAGATGAGAAAAATAAGGATCAGAGAAGCTGCTTATTCACAGTAACATAACTAAAAGAGCAATATAAAATATACTCATTTAAAGGTCATGATAGAAAACTTCTCAACTTTACCTAAAAACTACACCAAAAAGAGTCAATGGAGAAGAAAGCAGAGGGGCCGGCCCCATGGCTTAGCGGTTAAGTGCACGCGCTCCCCTACTGGTGGCCCAGGTTCGTGTCCCAAGCGCGCACCGACCCACTGCTTGTCTGGCCATGCTGAGGCGGCGTCCCACATACAGCAACTAGCAGGATGTGCAACTACGACATACAATTATCTACTGGGGCTTTGGGGAGAAAAAGGGAAAAAAAAAAGAAAGCAGAGAAAGTTTCAGAAATTTTCAAGTTTGTTTATTGCTTCTGTCTCATATCTCATGAGGTCTCTAATTCTAAAATGTTAAAATACTAACATCTTTGTTCTTTAGGATGTTCTAATCTCATCAGACTAATCAGATTATCATCTAACTCCTCTAAAAGGTGTTTCAGCCTGTCCCCTTTTCTGTGTATCTACTATACACATATTAATAAACCCAGTGCTTGAGACTAAAGTAAAAATATTCATAGCCTAACAGATAATCCTGGGCAATGATGGCACTGCAAAACAAACATGTCCTATAAAAACCTCCTCCTGGTGTCTTCTAATTCCTCTGCCAGACTGAACTCCCTTTCACGAATGCTCTTGACACCTTTACCTCCTGAACCATGCTCCACCCATTAATCTGACTCCACTGGCTACTGCTCCTTGGTCTTTTCCAACCTAAAAAAACTGCTCCAAAATCCTCTTTGACCCTTAAACCACTGCCTCACTTTTCCTCTTCCCTTTACCTCTACACTTCAATTACCTGCCTCCCTTCCCTAGTCAATGAAATTGCTAAGGAATCAGACACTTGCTAATTGCCAAATGTAGTTGCCTCATTTTAGGCCTCATCTTGAGTTTTCTGCACTACTCACTGATAACTTTAAAAACTTTCCTCCTTTGGGCCGGCCCCGTGGCTTAGTGGTTAAGTGAGCGTGCTCCACTGCTGGCGACCCGGGTTCGGATCCCGGGTGCGCACCGACGCGCTGCTTCTCCGGCCATGCTGAGGCCGCGTCCCACATACAGCAACTAGAAGGATGTGCAGCTATGACACACAACTATCTACTGGGGCTTTGGGGGAAAAAATAAAAAAAATCTTAAAAAAAAAAAAAAAAAAAAAAACTTTCCTCCTTTGAATTCTTTAACCCAACTTGCACCCCTTCATCATCCTGATAATAGCTGATAGCTTTTTCCCACAGTCTCCTTCTCAGGCTCTACGTCCTCTGTTTGCCCCTGATGTTACATGTTACCCAAGCTTACACATTTGGCCCTTTTTCCAGTCTATACCTACATCGTCCAATATAGTAGCCATTAGCCAAATACAGTTATTTACACTTAAATTAATTAAATAAAAATTCAGTTCTCTAGTTGCACTTAGTCACACTTCAGGCGCTCAATAGCTCATCAACTTAAAAGCAGCTAGCGGCTACTCTATCAGACAGCGAGATATAGGACGTTTCCATCACTGAAGAAAGTTGTACTGGACGGTGCTGGCCTATATACTCTCTTTCCGGTCAATCAATCAATCAATATTTATTGAGGGCCTATTGTGCACCAGGCACTGTTCTGGACCCTGGAGATAGAGTACTGAACAAAAAGCAGTCCCACTCTTCATGGAGCTAACATTCTAGTAGGAGGCGACAAACAAGTAGTTTGTCAGATGAACAATCTCATTTATTCCCAAATCATCATATGCTGAGGATTCCTAAAGCCTTTCCTGGGTTCTAAACTTGAATTTCCAGCTTCTGCTAGATATCAGCACTCAGATGTCTATGAAGTACCCTAAACTATGTCCTAAACTGAACTCAGTATCTTCACTTCCCTCTCAAACTTCCTTTTTCTGTATTCTTGATTTTTGAGTAACCCTGGACTTTTCCTCCTCTGTCCTACCACATCCGGTCACCAAACCTTGTGGAATTTATCTGTCTTAAACCAATCTCCTTATCTACTACCAGTGCCCTAATTATCTCTTGGCCAAAAATTAACTTCTCTACCTCTAATTTTTCCACATTTGCTTCACCCGTGTGTGACCTAGTTCATCCTAGTCCATCTGCCCCTAAAATTATACTTCTAAAACACAAATCTGATTCCATAATTTCCCTACTCAAAAATCACTGGCTAAATGCCTAAAGAATAAAACATAAATCCCTTAGCACGAATTCAAAGCACTACACAATGTGGTTATAAGCTACTTTATCCTTCTAACCCGCTCTTCCTGCTACATACTGTACTATCCAGCCACACCAAATTACTAGGTCCTTTCAAGCAGCAATCTCTCCCTGAAGTTATTTTCTATTTTTCTCCACTTAAACACACAGTCACAAACAAAAACATCCTTTTCACCCCTGAAGGCGTAGTTCAAATGACACCTGTCTCTGAAGTCGTGTTCACCATCCTCCAGTCAGTCTTTTTTTTCCCCCCAAAGCCCCAGTAGATAGTTGTATGTCATGGTTGCACATCCTTCTAGTTGCTGCATGTGGGATGCGGCCTCAGCATGGCCGGAGAAGCGGTTCCTCGTGTGCGCCGGGGATCCGAACCCCGGGCCGCCAGCAGCGGAGCGCGTGCACTTAACCGCTAAGCCACGGGGCCGGCCCCAGTCAGTCTTAATTATTTACTCTTCAGAACTGCTGTAGCACTTATACATAACCACTGTACATCATATTCTCAGTGTCTATACAGTGCCTGGGGTATAATGTCAAAGGATTAAATACTTCTCTCGACATTATGTCTGTGTGACACAGGGGGGCAAAATTTTCGATCATATTCTTAGAAACCTTTTCTGTCCTCGTAAGACTCAACAAGTTGATATGCTGTAAGTATTCAATAAATAGGACAGAGAATGTGAGGCCTGCCTGGTATCCTCTCACAGTCGAGGCGAGCGCATCGACGCTGCCTGAATAAAGGCTTTCCCTAGGTCCTGGCCCCTTCTTTCAAAGGACGACTGGCAGAACAGGAACAGAGGATCCAGCGACCACTGGGCGCAAGACAGTTTAGGAAGAAGATGAAAGGGGGGGGGGGTTTGGAATGAAGTGGGAAGAAATCTTCTAGCTGGAGAGAGAATGGAGATCGACATCCCTCTCCTTCGCCCTGTGAGGGGCCAACCTACCTAGAGACCTCTCCTCCGCCTCACTCGCGCCTCTGCGTTCTTCACTTCTCGGTAGCGAACACGTTTCTATCGTGCGAGCTACCTCTTCCGGGGTCCCTTGACAAGAAGTTCCGGATCAAGCACCGCGCAGAGAACAGTCATCCTTCCTCTCGCCCCGCCCACAGGTCCCGAACCCAGAGCCGAACTGAAATCCCGCGACGAACGACTTAGGTTGCCGAAGGGTAAGGGGAACGTTTCTCTTTTGGAGGCGGTCTCCCGGGGGGGAAACGGACCGGAAGTGACGTGAGAGAATTCCGGTTGGCCGGATCCCAGCGGCGCGTGTGAGAGTCGGTCGGGAGCCGCTTCCAGGATCTTGAGATCCGGAGAAGCCGGGATCAGAGCGGGTAGGTAAACCAGCGCAGAGAATTAGGGACGGAAGTCTGAGACTGTCCTCAGAGCTTGGCTTCTTCCGGAGCTCTCCTACTTAGATCTTGCAGGATTGGGGCACCGTGCAAGCAGTGTTTTAGGGCGCTGCTGACTCTAGATCTCTCAGTCTGGCGGTAGCCGGGTTATTTGGGACAGCTCCCCGTGGTTGTCCACCGGTGCACTGAACCCGTGCACTGGTCTCCGGATGATTCGCTCTTACTGCCGCGCACTTGGAAGCCGTTCGAAGCTTCTGTAGAGTACCCCTCTGCTCTTCCTCCCTGGGTGTCTAGGACCTTAGAGTAAATGGAGAAGGGCTTCCCTGCTGATGACCAAGCTGTTTCTCAGGATGTCAGTTTGCGTTCTTGTCCTCCCCAACCACTAGCGCATGATGCTAAATGTACCCGCTTTTAAACAAAATTCAGGCGTGCAAGTGCCATCTAAAGCGTTGGTGGCCAAGAGGGTGGGGCCTTCGCTCCGTAGATCTCTTGCAGAGGAACTTCACGTATGTCCCACTACTTTCATGAGGAATAGGGTCCTCTGCGTTTTCCAAATCCCTGACTCCTCCGACCCGTGTATTTCATTACAGTGGAGGGTTTGCAATAAAACGTGAAGGTCGGCTTAATCGCTAAAATTCCAGGAAGCCATATGTGGCCCTGCTAAGATTACTTATGACCTCCAGTAGGTTTTACACTATTATCTTTTGTTTTCCTGCAACTCCATGCAAAAATCTCATAATGTATAGGCTCTGGCACTGTTTACCTATCTCAGCAACATAGCTCTTTTTCCTAACTTTAATGTTTTTCAGTTCTCTTTCGGGGCTTGTCAGAAATTTTGTAGACACATTGCACTGATTCTTTGGAGAAGCTTGTGCAAGTATTTCTAGTGTTGTAATGATAGAGAATTTAATGTTCTGACTGCTAATATCTATTAACTGTGTTATCATTAGTTCTGATTTTAGTTGTGTATTCTTAGTATAAGTGATGACAGTGAGAAACTATTATTTACTATTATTTACTAGGCAACATTTTATTCTTTCTCGGTTATGTTTTTATTGACCTTTGAAAGAGAAATGATGGTTCCCAGACAAATGTGGCCAATTTGTGTAGGTGTGAAATGACTCTACAGTAGAAATCTTTTATATTTTACTTCTTTGCCTATATTTTAAAACACTGAAGCATTTTTTTTTCCTTTGAGGGATATATCCTACTTGATTAATCAAGTTTAATTTCTGTGACTCACATTCCAGAATAACTAAGTTTCTGATTTACTTCAGTAAATGGTTTAATGCCTTTTAGTGGTTTACCTATAGCTACTTTAATCAGTTTGTTGTTTAATTTACATATTGTTCTTAGTTTTGAGTTAGAAAATTTTTTCACGCTTGTCTTTGAAATAAGGTGACTAGATTTTTGAGATGTAGAATTATATAAATTAGATGTTATCATTAATTTTAATGTTTGGTAAATTTGCTTATTGACTTTATAACTGCCAAACTTGATCTTAAATTCTTTTTGTTCAATTCAGTTATCAATTCAGTCCGGAAAATCTGGACTGATTATCCAGATTTTCTCATTTTTACAACTTCTTCCTACCTTTGGCTTGAATTACTGCTTTTTAGGATTTTGAAGAGCATTAAATTTTAAATCAGAAGACCTGGATTGAAGTCTGCGCTCCAACACTTACTGAGTGCAAGTTGGCAGGTTATCTAACTTTCTGAGCTGTTCTGGATTGTGTTGATAAACTTACTGCTCATTTTACTTCATAGGATTGTCACAGTGATTAAGTGAGATAGTAAATGTGAAATCACTGTAAAAATGAAAATATGGTGATATTGTCATTTTACTCTGAAAGCTGGAAATGTATCAGTGCAGAATACTGTTACTTTGCATCATTTCAAAATTTGATCTTTTATATTGTGTGCTATTTATCTGAAAACATTATTACACACTCTTCTAAGATAATCTTTGCCCTACTTTTGAACACAATAAAAGCTAACCAGGAATAGTTTGATACTGTAATCCACTGAATTAGTCATCTTGGTTAATAAGTAGGTGACTGGAAAATGAGTATAGTTTCGCATTTGGGAGTTTAAATCTGATCTGTCTTGGTCATCATGTATTGTCACTTAAGAATTTCCAAGTGCAAAGGAAGCTGAAGTTTTTGGTGCTTACGTATAGTTAACTAAAGGTTAGAAGTAGCCTTATTTATTTATATTAAGCAAGAAACTATGATTTCACTAAAACCTACTGATAGAAATATTTAGAATTAGAAGCAACCTCTGTGAACATATAGTGAGATTCTTCTCATATAACAGAGGAGAAAATTGGGACCCAGAAACAATCAGTAATTGGCTTGCCTGAGGTCATATGGCTTAGGTAGGGCCAGAACCTGAACTGGAAATGAGGCCCAAGTTGTTCTTTCTGTTCTGCTAAAATTGTCTCCAGCATGTTTATATGGTTTGGTAATATTTCCTGTTTTGCATGACACTGGTTTCTCTTATATATTAAAGGGATCTATATGTATTAAAAGGATCTATATAGTGTACATTTTTTTCCTTTCCTAAATTAGCTGATTTAGTCTTGTAAATTCTAGGAAAACAAAAACACTGTGCTTGGCAAGATTTGCAGTGGAATGGAATAAGGAAAGAGAAAAAGAAGTTAGTTCTATTTTTCAGAATAGTTATTCTGAGTTCGTGCTTCATTGCTGTGAGGTATTGAGGTGTCTTCTTTCTGGCAAGTGGAAAAGACAGAAAGGATCTTTGTAACACATGTCTCTGCTGAGTGAAAGTTGTTGCTAATGAGTAGGAAGAAGCTGTATTAATTTCTTTGCTCCTGCTAAAAAAATTTCCCCAAGCTGCTTGTAATTTTAATATTCTGTGTTAATTGTCTATTAATCTATGTAGTCATTTCTCTAATTATTTCATCCTGGGTAAATAGCTACTGTAGGAAAGTTAATTCTTTGACTTGTTGGGAAAGCTTTGCTTCCACTGATTTCACAAAACCTGTTTTGTCCCTCCCCTTTCTTGGAGATTATAGTGCCACGTGCTTATTATCATTGCTGTTTTGTCCTAATGCTCTTTGTTGGTGTCTCTCTCTCTTTGGTATGGAAATAAACTCCGGATTAGAGAATCTTGAGTAACCTCAGTAACAAACTGGATGAATTGAAGTGATAACTTGTTTGTTGCTATATTAGTTAATAATCTGCTTTCACAAAGACTTGCAAATATTTTGGGGGGTAATTTCTAAAGTGTTTATTGCTTCAAGAAACTCCTTATTTTGTCTGGGAAAGCAACTTTGTGTAGAGTTTGCTGAACTGATATTGTGTATTATGTAAACTCTTATGTAAAGCTCATTTAAAAATGTTATGCTCCTTGAAGGTTTTGGAAATTTGAACAGGAGATACTTTTCTGTGTCAGATAAAAGATGATACTTAAAGCTTAAGGCATTTTTACATTAAGCAAGGGCCACCCATTGAGTAATCCTATCCCAGCTGGTCTAACTATAATTGCTCAAGAGTTTGGCCTTATCCAGAAATATATAGTCTTTTCAGTAGTTCATTGTTATGTTTTCTTTTGTTCTCAAGGTTCTGTAATAATAACCTTGGTCTTTATAGATTTTTCTGGAAGGACCGGATAGCTAATGTTAAGAGCCAGGGCTATAAAGCTAGATTGCCTTGGTTCAAATTCCAGCTCTACTAGTGCAGTCCTTGGACTAGTTACTTAACCTCTTGCTATCTCAGTTTCCTCCTAGACAGTGAAGTCAGTACCTTTATTGTTAGGGTTAAATGGATAAGTAAAGCATTTAGAACAGTGCCATGATCGTTATCATCATGTGGTCTGCTGAGCAATTGCTAACAACTCTTTCCCAACCCTCTTTTGAAATCATGTCTTTATATTGCTGCTTACTTGATTATTGTTTGCTCATTATTAATGAATTTTCAATAAATATATATGTATATTTCATTTTGTGAATATTTTACAACATATGTGGGATTCTTAACCAAATGAGGCATTGTAGGCTATTATCTCAGCCTTTTGTGTATTATTGTTAACAGTTTACGTTATCTGTGTAAACTTTAACACAGAATTTGAGAATTGAAATTTGGGAATTTGATGTTTAATGATGTCTTCTAGCACTTACTTTTTTTGCATCAGAAGATCCTTTTTCAATGACATCTATCGCTGTATCTGTTCATTCATCCGATCAGTAAACAAATATCTTGTGTCCTAGGCTTTTTACCAGGTTCTGGGGAAAACAATGGGAAACAAAGACAAAAACAGATATTTTATTCAGGAGCCTGATAGAGAAAAAAATAAATACAGAAGTGAAAGAATAAACATAGTGTAATAAATGTTATGAAGGAAACCAACAAGGGTCTGAGAGAGAGTTAATGTGAATATGTGCCCGTGTGAGACTTTAGTACAGTACTTCTGGAATACAGCAACATGAGATTAGGTAGGAAGCATACTCATGGTGCAGGTTATGTAGAGCTTTACAGGCTGTGGAAATGAGTTTGAATTTAATTATGAGTGCAATAGGAAGTCATTCTACAATTTCAAGTAGGGGAGTAATATGATTTATAAGAAGTTCACTCTTGCTCATATGTGAAGGATGAATTGAAGGGGACAAGAATAGAAATGGAAAAAGAAGTTAGGAGTCCATTGCAGTAGTCTAAGTGAGAGATGAAGATGGCCTGAACAAGAGTAGTGGCAAAAAAGTGGAGAGCAGTGGGTGGATACTAAATATATTTGGAATAGGACTGGGTCCTGGATTAGATGTGAAGAGTAAGGAAATGAGAAGAGTCAAGGATGACTAGGCGTCTTGATTTAGTAACTGAGTGGAGGGTTGTGCCAAGCACTGGGAGAGGGAAGGTTTGGGGAGGACCAGGTTTGTTATGAGAAGGGAGATGGGGATAGGGAAGAAAGGACATGTTAAATTTGAGATGCTTAGGAATCATCCGAGTGGTGCTATTAGGTATACAG